AGAGTGATTAAAACAAATAAATGGTGAATCAGACAGAGTTGTCTTTCTGGTAATGTTTATTCGAGTCTCAAACAAACATTAGATACAATAAAGATATAGACACAGGTCTCACAGAGTATAAAATATGTCTGCGCGAGTGTGCGCAGTTCAATATAGTAAAAAGGCTTATATACAATATAAGGGGTGGGAAGGTAAGAAATCTGTCTTCACACGGTCACATTGTTATTAGACACCTGGCCTTGAGCTGTAGAAGTTCTCGTGTGACTTTGTGTGAGTCTCAACCCAGTAGCCAAAACAGCTCTGTGGCCTTGAAGTAGAGTAGATAGAGGCAAACAGCACATCTAACCAAATGAGAAGCATTTGGTTTAAACATATCAGGATATAATAAAATGTCCACTACAGTAGTCTTGTGTTTGAGCAACAACCATTTACTTATTCCACTGATAGGTCTAGGGTTGTTTTTATTATGAGCTTACTGAGTGATAAAGCAGCAGCATGGGCCCTTGCCATATCTAACAGCAACTCGCCTATCAGTCAGTCTATGTCGTCATTTACTGCAGAAATGCGTAAGGTTTTTGATCATCCAGTGAGGGGGAAGGAGGCTGGTAAAAGACTCCTTTCACTCACACAGGGTTCAGGCTCTGTTGCTAATTTTGCTGTTGATTTCCGCATTCTTGCAGCAGAGAGTGGTTGGGATGACATGGCCTTGCTGGGAATTTTTTGTAAGGGGCTAAATGAGGAATTAAAGGATGAACTAGCTGCCAGGGATGGAACCTCCTCCTTAGAAGAGTTGATTTCTTTAGCGATACGATTAGATAACCGCCTCCGCGAGAGGCGTAGGGAGAGATCAGGAGAGCATAGCCCCACCTCACTTCCCCCTCAGTCCAAGTTTCCTAGACGGCCTGCGTTCCCTGGACCTTCTCTTCATCCTCCTGACTCCTGGCCTTCCAGTGCTTCTCCAGCTACCCAGGTTTCTCCCTTCCTCATGGAGGAGCCCATGCAGCTGGGAGGGATGACGCTTACCCAATCTGAACGTCAACGCCTTCTTCATCAGCGACTCTGCCTCTACTGTGGCCAGGCTGGTCACTTCAGCGCCGGTTGTCCTTCTCGGCCAAAAGACCTGGCTCATCAGCGACAGGGGGAGCACTGTACCTCTATCCACTCAGCCTCCTCCAACCGCATCCCAGTCAAAGGAACTATTTCTTGGTCTCAGAACTCTGTTCCGCTTCAAGTCTTGATAGATTCTGGTGCGGATGACAATTTCATTGACTTTGACTTTGTTATGCAGTCTAAACTCCCTTTCGAGCCTCTTCCAGAACCGAGGGATGTGTTTGCCTTAGATGGGAGACTCCTAGCCCAAGTCACCCATCGTACTGCTCCAGTTTCCCTCAAGCTCTCTGGTAACCATCATGAGATAATCTCCCTGTACCTTATCCCCTCACCCTTGTCACCACTCGTTTTAGGTTTTCCGTGGTTGAAGCTCCATAACCCCCACATAGATTGGGCCAACTCGTCTATCGTTAACTGGAGTTTATTCTGTCACTCTCATTGCTTACACTCTGCTGTACCCCCCACAGTTACTAGAGCACCAGACCCCCTCAAACCCATTGATCTCACCTCCGTACCCCCTGAATATCACAGCATCAAGGAGGTTTTCAGCAAGGACCACGCACTATCCTTGCCGCCTCACTGGCCCTACGATTGTGCCATAGATTTGCTCCCTGGCACCCCCTTTCCGTCTAGTAAACTGTACAATATCTCCAGGCCAGAGAAGGAGGCCATGGAGAGTTACATCTCTGACTCACCCGCTACTGGGCTTATTCGCCCCTCTTCATCGCCTATGGGCGCAGGTTTCTTTTTTGTGGACAAGAAGGATAAGACCCTACGCCCTTGCATAGACTACAGAGGTCTTAATGAGATCACAGTCAAGAACAAGTACCCCCTTCCACTCATAGACTCAGCCTTTGTTCCCCTTCATGAAGCCACCATCTTCACTAAGTTGGATCTTCGCAATGCGTACCACTTGGTGAGAATAAGGGAGACGGATGAGTGGAAGACTGCATTCAATACTCCCCGGGGACATTTTGAGTATTTAGTAATGCCTTTTGGGTTAACGAACGCACCTGGGGTTTTTCAAGCTATGATTAATGATGTCTTGCGTGACATGTTAAACAGGTTCGTTTTTGTGTACCTTGATGACATCCTAATCTTCTCTCGCACTCTTCAGGAGCATGTCCAGCATGTAAGGCTGGTACTGCAGAGACTTCTTGAGAACAGACTGTACGTTAAGGCTGAGAAGTGCGATTTTCATGCCTCTTCTGTGAGTTTCCTGGGGTTTATCGTCGACAAGGGACAATTAAGGACTGACCCCGCCAAGGTCCAAGCAGTGACCGAGTGGCCCACTCCCTCTAACAGGAAGCAGTTGCAAAGGTTTCTGGGCTTTGCCAACTTTTATAGAAGGTTTATTCGGGACTATAGTAGGGTAGCAGTGCCTCTGACTAAACTCACCTCTGTCAAGTTGCCTTTTGAGTGGTCTCCTGCAGCTGAGGCAGCTTTTGTAAAACTGAAATGTTTGTTTGTCACTGCTCCTGTGCTCTCTCATTCTGATGCAGAGGTCCAGTTTGTGGTGGAGGTGGATGCCTCTGATTCTGGAGTGGGGGCAGTTTTATCCCAGCGTTCCCCCGCAGACCAGAAGCTCCACCCTTGTGCGTTCTTCTCTCGTCGGCTGACCCCTGCTGAGAGGAATTACGACGTTGGTAATCGGGAGTTGCTGGCAGTGGTTCTGGCCCTTCAATAATGGAGGCACTGGCTGGAGGGCGCCAACCATCCTTTTATAGTATGGACGGACCATAAGAATTTGTCTTACCTTCGCTCTGCACGCAGGCTCAACTCGCGCCAGGCTCGGTGGGCTCTCTTCCTGGGACGGTTCAACTTCACCTTAACCTACCGGCCTGGCTCCAGGAATGTGAAGGCCGACGTCTTGTCCCGGCAGTTCGCTTCCCCAGTGGAGGACTCAAGAGATGCAACCATTCTGCCATCTTCCTGTGTCGTGGGAGCAGCTAGATGGGAGATTGAAAGGGTGGTCCAGGAGGACCATCCAGAGGCTCAGGATTGTCCACCAGACCGGCTGTTCGTTTCCCCCGATGCTAGATCTCCAGTGCTCCAGTGGGGACACGCGTCCAAAGTTGCCTGCCATGCAGGTTTTCATCGGACCCTGGCCCTAATTCGACAACGCTTCTGGTGGCCCACTATGTCCGCAGACACGAAGGAGTATGTCTCAGCTTGTTCCGTCTGTGCCCGCAGCAAGGCCTCACATCAGGCCCCCGCTGGCTTTCTTCGCCCCCTTCCCATTCCCCACCGGCCCTGGTCCCACATTGCGGTGGATTTTGTGACTGGTCTCCCACTATCAGATGGGAACGACACTATTCTGACCATCGTTGACCGTTTCTCTAAGGCTGTGCACTTTGTCCCTCTGCCTAAACTACCTTCTGCCCTCGAGACTGCCACTCTTCTCACCCAGCATGTTTTTAGGCTGCATGGTATCCCACAGGATATTGTTTCAGACAGGGGTCCGCAGTTTTCCTCCCAAGTTTGGAGGGCCTTTTGCCGGGCATTGTCGGCCAGTTTGTCCTCTGGGTACCATCCCCAGACCAATGGCCAGACGGAGCGGGCAAATCAGGACCTGGGAACGGCTCTTCGTTGTGTTGCCTCTCGAAACCCAGCCTCATGGTCTCTTCATCTGCCATGGGTTGAGTACGCCCACAACTCCCTGGTGTGCTCTGCCACAGGTATGTCACCCTTTATGGCTTCCAACGGCTTCCAACCCCCCCTTTTCCCGGTTCAAGAGAGCGAGGTGGCGTTTCCCTCGGTACAGGGGCATCTTCGGCGAGCCCGCAGAGTCTGGCGTGAAGCCCGGGCAGCTCTTACCCGCACCTCCGCCCGGAACCAGAGGATGGCGGATCGTCATCGACGACCAGCTCCGGATTACCAACCGGGCCAGAAGGTTTGGCTTTCCTCCTGTGACCTCCCTCTTCAAACGGATTCTCGGAAACTCACTCCCAGGTACATTGGACCTTATGAGATAGAACGGGTCATCAATCCTAGTGTGGTTAGGCTTAAGTTGCCTCTTGCCTTGAAGGTGCACCCCACTTTTCATGTGTCACTCCTTAAGAGAGTTTCCTGCAGCCCTCTTTGCCCTCCGACCAAACCCCCTCCACCCCCCCGGCTCATCGACAACCACCCGGCCTTCACTGTACGGAGGTTGCTGAAAGTTCGAAGGCGGGGCCGTGGATACCAGTATTTAGTGGATTGGGAGGGGTATGGGCCAGAGGAGCGACAATGGGTTTCTCGCTCGCTCATTTTGGACCCTAAACTCTTGAGAGACTTTTATGTCCGTTTCCCGGATAGTCCTGGTAGGCCGCCAGGAGGCGTCCTTTGAGGCGGGGGTACTGTTATGTTTTACATGGGGCTTTTGTTGTTTTTGTGTTTTACTTGTTGTGTGCTCCTTTTACCCCTCACTACTCTGTCTTTCCGTCTCTGCAGGGCTGGTGTGTGACAGGGGGGCGTGGCTGGTTTACTCCTGGCTGCAGATGAGGCACACCTGTTCCCACTCATGATTAACCTGCTCTTTAAGAGCCTGGCCCTCACCTCACTTCTCTGCCAGAGTATTACATGCTGTCCCGCGGTCCGGAGTGCCTTTCTGCAGCCTGGAGTCTGTTGTTGTTCACTTTGCAGTTAGTTAAGGAGTTCTTTTTGAGTTTGTCGGGAACGTTTTCCCGCAGCTTTATTTTTGGATTTACTACGACCAGCCAAGCTCCCTGTCGTCAGTACCTGCCTTGGACTACTTTTGTTTATTAAAACACATTGAAACTTTATTTTTTGTCAGTCTCTGCTTTGGGGTCCAAGTAGTATCTAACGTCACACATACCACAATAACCTTGTATGACTCTAACGTTGTACATTTTAAAGCCATTGACTAATTACCGCATCCTTTCTCTTAGGAAATGTCTCTTTTGAAGGATGTTCGCGCCCTGCAGGTTATCCCCGGTGAATTGGCGAAGCCCTTCAAGTCCAACTTCCCCTCTCGCCTGGCTCAGAGTCGGGCCGAGCTGCTCGAGAAGCTTCTCGCTGAACTGGGCACAGAGAACTCCGGCTTCACCTTGGACAATGTCATGATGGTAAAAAAAAGCCTTAATCATGATAAATGCATCTATACATTATCTTTTTTTTATAGTGATATTGACATCATTTACAAATAAAAATAATGATTATTATTTATTCATTTAGTTTGTGTATTTGTATTTGTGTTGAAAATGACCGACAGAACTAAACTAACTATCTCGTAATCTTGAGAAATCAAGGTTTTTATAGCCTCATAAACCAAATTTTAGAAAGGTTGACCCCCCAACGTCACGATAAAGCAAAGAAAGTTTGAATTGTATTGAGGTTAAAAATAACTTCAACCGTAGCAGCTATCGGCTGCCATACTCTGAGACTTTTTGGGACACTGTAACCTTTTGAAGGGATTTTAGATCTGTAAAATATGTTTAAAATGTCAACATAAGCATATAGTATATATATATATATATATATATATATATGTGTCTTTTTCAGTTACGACTGTTTCCAATCTGAAAATAGCAACATATCCTCTATAACAAGATAACACATATTCTGTATAGAATTCCGTATAGTATAATGCCTGTATTATTCCACTTTAAAAGCAGGATTCCATCAAACTGTTTCCGTTAAATTTGGCTCAGTAATTAAAGAGTGACTGTGCACTCCCTTCCGGGGTTTCTTCAGTTCACCCAAACAGGCTGTCAGTGAGCTCCAGTCAGCTGAGTCAATGTTGTCACCGTTGGCATCCGCTCTCGGTCCCCCTGCACTCGGTTTCCAGCAGTGACCTAATATCTACGTGCAAACTAACTGTTGACCAGTCTCCTCTGTTTTACGGCGGCTCCTCCACCCTTCCCCCCCTTCCCCTTCAGCCCTCCTCTTGACCCCTGCACATCTTTTATCAACAAAAGCAAATTGTTAGGTTTGTCCACCGAGTTTCTCCGGCTTCCCTGAAGACACGCAGGTGGAATTGGATGGCCCGTGTTTGTGCATGCTTGCTCTGCGCCTGTCCCTTTTGTGTTGGCTGTCACCCTTGTTTGCCTGGGAAACATTTTCAGTCTGGAATTGAGACCTGGCAGCCGGGCCGTGCCTTATTTAACAGCTTGGCTTCTTTTTTTCCTGCTGGTTGTCACATTGAAACATCTTGATGGGAAACATGTAAGATTTAGACTGAAATTCAGTTTGCAATAATAACCGAGCAACAAGCAATGTGGCTTTTAATTTGAAAGTACAGAAAGTGTAAGGCAACTACTTAAGACATATGCTGACCCAATAACAGTGGCTGTCCCTATCCTATCCTACAGCACCTCAATCAGGCATGTCTGCTTGAGAGTGGACAAAAAAGAATTTTCCCTGCAGAATAAAGATATACTACGTTGCTAGTGAGGGAGGACGAGCTAACAAGTGTTAGCTCGGCTATATTTTGAGCATTTTTCCTTTTCTCACCCTGCTGTTACCTGGGTGATCGTCTCCAAAGCGGGAGCCAGGGTGAATACAGAGGGCGATTGAATTTCCTGTAATTAAAATGAGAAGCGGAGGGCAGAGACAACAGAGAATAATGGCGAGCTGTCCCTGAGCCGGTTGAGCGAGGGACGGGTGGCCTTTATACACGGTTTACTTTCTGGATGTTAATGTTCTTCACTGGCTGGATTGCCATTGTGTTGTGACCCTCTTCACACAGATTACGTCGCATATAGGACTCTTCCTACGTCATGATGCGAACCCCAGTCAAAGGACGTCTTCAGCAATGTATCGTGCATGAAGCTAGACTGTAAATATTGCTTTTTTTAACTTGGACTTTTATCTGTTAAAATAGCAAGCCCTGGGTATTTTTCCTTGCCTGCTTTGTTGCCCCAGCATACTGGAGTTGGGACAAAGAAAGGCAAGTTCTATTGCATAACGCCTTTACAACACATACAACTCAAACTGCGTCACACAAGGCAAAGAAATGAATAAGAACAACATTTGAAAACAGAATAAAGACAATATAATTCACATAAGTTCAAATAGAAATTGGTTCAATGCAGTTGAGTGGGTCCAACAATGTCCTCAAAGTTCAAGAACAATTGGAATTTTTTGTTGTAATAGTAACAAAGGTTGGACCACCTCATAGCACGTCATGTTTTACGAATAAACTCAGGTTATACAGGAAATCAGACAAAGAGATTACATGCACTGTGATAGTGGGATTACTGTTAGCATTTGGTATGTGAGTATAAAGGGAACTAGAGACAGCAATGTAATACTAAGAAGGTTGCTCAATAGGGCATGAAGTAAAATATTTGAGAGCCAGGTTTAAAATGGCCTGCATCTCAACATAATTTAAATAATGACTTTTAATGGGGTAATGTAAATGCAATGTAATGTAATTGCTTGATCTGGGAAATTGATGTACTTCAAAGAAAATTAGCTGGTTTATAGACTTTCAAGATGTAAGTCAACGGGAAAAAGTATTTCTGTGTGCAATGACTTGATGGGCCTGTGAGTTGTAATTACACGGTTTGGCCACTATGTAAAATATACTTTAGTCCGGTGCTGTTACTGTATCTAGTTTTGTTTTTTACGTCCACATGTAAGCTATAGTCGGTCAGTAAACAGCAATCACACAGATCACATTATTTCCTTATCACCTTCAAGTGAATTCTACAAATAGTCTAATGTTGAGCACCAGCAATCAACTTTCAGGTAAAAAATGTGTAGGAAATGTAGAATATATGGGGCACCGCTTTGCATTCCGCTGTTGTTACATGAATAAAAGTTCATTTTTCATACAACGTGAATGCAGTCCCAAAGGTTTTCATCCAACAAAAATAAAAATGAAATCTCTGTTTTGAATATGGGGTCACTGTTAAGCAGGTAAAACTAAAGCTGAACTGGCTGTACCATATGCTTAAAATTACTATCCAGTCAATCAAAAATGTTTTCTCAATGTTTCCATGTTAATAGAAATCCCTGTTTTCCCTTCTCAGTTCTGTACAGCAGCTTTGGAACACAATGCGTCAGCAGTACGAGAGCTGGCGGTGCGCATCATCTTGTCCATGTACCAGCAGCACAGAGCCGCTGTTCTCCGCTTCCTTCCACCCAACTCTGCTGCTGCGCAGAAGAACTTCCTCTTCAAAACCCTCTTTGAAGGCTTCGCCAAGATTGATGGGAAGCTGGTGGAGACTCAGGCAAGAAGTGTTTTTTTAAACAGCAGATTCATTTATTTATTGATACTTAACATCTATTTTATTTGCTAAAGAAAGAAATGGCTGAAATGTACTTTTTGTAGATGAACCAAATGTGTTCAGACAGTTTTTCAAACAGATTGCTGTCAGCGAGCAGCAGCTGGTAGATGGACAGTGAAACTGTCAGACATGGCAGAAAAGGGTTGAGTTTTTTTTTCGAGGACACTGCATGATGTCACGTTTTTTTCTTTTTTCAAGGCAGTAAAAGAGTTTCATGTTGCACAGACAGCAAGCTGCCTCTGCTGCTTCCTCTGCCAAACACAGCACAGGCTGTCTGCCCTTCACTGGTTAAACAAATCAGATCCATGCATGGCATTATTAAAGGTGGGGTAGGTAAGTTTGAGAAACCGGCTCAAGATACACTTTTTGTTATATTCCATGGAATGCTCTTAACATCCCGATAGCAATGAATATCTGAAGTGCTTTGACAGTAAATCCATAAAAAATATCATCTGTGGAAGCTGTAGTACTGTAAAAGCACGACCAATCATCTGAGCCGGCCCGGCTAAAATAACTGGATGGCCGACCTGCCTGTCAGCCTTCCATCTGTGCACAAACTTATCTCGTGCCCTCATTGGTCATGAGGAGGGGCTCTGTAAGGAAGTGGCAGAATTTTTCCGGTTGTGTATTTTCAAAATCTAGTGCACTCGAGCTGGTTTCTCCAAAATTACCTACCCCACCTTTAAGATATCTATTTGCCATTTTTTTTTTTTCAATGTTTGTGTCATCCTCAACGTGTCCTTCTGTAAGGCTACACTAGCAAAAAACCTGTCTGACTAGTTTCTTTTATCAAAATGTAGAAAGGATGTTAGCTGACACCACAAACACAGCCAGTAAACAAGTCTCGCCTTTCAAGTTCATATGGTGCAATGATGCTTTACCGTAAAGTGTGTGACTCTCTCAGTGACCAAGTCTAATTTCTTACCGGCAGTACTGAAGACTTAACCTGCCTATACCGTAATGAAGTTAACTGTCTGCCAAGCATTCAAGAACATAATTAAATGAAAGCTGGTAAAGTCTGTGATCTTGAAATGATCTTAACATGAATAGACAGAAGTAAGGAAAATGAAACTGACTCTATACTCACTTCTCCCTCAGACTTTGAAGAAGGGAGGTGGTCAGCAGGATGGACAAAAGGAGAAAGAGGAGATCCACTCCCTTCAGGAGCAGCTGGCTGCCTTGAAAGAGATCACAGTAGGTGGTGCTTTCATCAGACTGCACTTCTTGTAATGGCTACTAATTAGTATTTATGACTCCAGGCAGACTTGAGTAGAGTTTGAACTCACTTGGTGGTCAGAAACTCAATTATTCCCGTAAACAGATAACATCAGCAGTACATGAAATCCTCTTGAGAGTGTTATCTACAAAGGCCTGAAGTTGTGTTAAGCTTTTTTTCTGTGATAGGTACTTTTTGTAACTGTGGTCTCTGACTTCTCTTTCTCCTTCTCCATCTGCTTGTAAAGGAGAGACGGGAGGAAAGCACCAAAGAAGAAATTCCCGATGAAGAAGCTCCCAAAGTCGAATCCAAAAAAGCTGTCAAAACAAGTATGTAAACATTTTTAACTAGAAAGGAGCAGAGCAAAGGATTTCAGATCCCAAATCACATTAAATATATTATTCACTAGAGTAAAACCATCGTTAAATACTCAACACCAACAGGTCTGGATTAGATGTTTCAAAGCACAATGTTATTTTGCTTTAAGATATTGGTAGATAGAAAATTGTTAGTATAGAAATGCAAAACAAATCCAAATAATTTCCCATTTTCAAAAGGTATAAGCTTGTACATACTAGTATGTAAAGGCCCTTAAAGCATCTACTTTTGTTTCCAGTTGCCAAGCAACATTGCTCTTTAGAGTTTAACCACTTCAACTCCAAGTGTGGTGCTCTACAACAGAAACAAAAGCTCCATTTGTAGGCACTAACAATATCGTTTGCATGACTATGCCAGCCATCTCTACTATTAACCTATAGAAATAGACTGTAGATCCACCACAATCAGCAAACACGGAAACGAAGTATAAATAGATTTTGCTGCTCATAAGTGTAATTTCAATTTAATCTGACAAATGGTGATGTAGTAGGCCTTGGTTCCCCAGACTATTAGGCTGTTGTACAATTAAAACTACGTTTCTAAGAAGCAAAGGCGAGAGTTTAATTGACATGTAAAAGCTTAAAAATTCACAAGTGGGGAATTTACTGGCATTTTGTTATGCTGTAATACAAAATGTTAAACCAAAGACTATATTTAAAGAACCTAACAACATTAAAAGAAAACCCTTTGACTTTGAGATCAGGAAAAAGGGAAACGCCAAAGTAATAACTCATTTTGGGATTTAGGAATTATTCGTGCAGTCACCCGTCCATCATATTTTCAAAGCTTAACATGAGGGTTCTATCAAAGCTAAACATACAGATCTCTTTTAACAAAATGATACACGTTACTACTCTGAAATTAGTCAATCCCATTTTTGAGTGCTGGATTTCTTTGGTCTGATGCTTTAACGAGGGGCCCTCGATATCTAATACTATCTTCTTAATTTCCAGAATCAGACAGTATTGATGTCCAACAATCTATCAACTACCTGGACAAGTAAGTGACTCATAATTCAATGGAGACCTTAAAACAAATCACGGAAATCATAGAAAGATGCAAAAACTGATTTTACAGGTTAAGTGATTTCACAGGCAATCTATTTGTCTAGCTCAGGTGTTTCATTTAGTGTAATATTTATGGCAGCAATAGTCTGAACTGCAACCTGGTCTTATATTTCAGCCTGTGTATATTCTGTGGTAAAAAGGACGAGTCCTTCACAGAGGATGGATTGGACCTTCATTACTGGAAGCACTGTCCGATGCTGAGACGCTGCGATGAATGTAGACAGGTAAGATAATACATACGATACGATATGATATACTTTATTGTCCCCGTAAGGACATTTGTTCTGGAGTTACGCATACCAGGGTCAAATGTCCGAACAGAATTTATTTTACCGGACAAATTTGAAACTTACCGGTTTACCATGTTTCAATAATAATAATAAGAATTGTGTAGCAGAGTTTCCGTTAGCAGGTAATTACCGGACTAGGACCGGATATGCTGATGTTTAAAACTCAGTTAATGGGGCTCATTTTTATATTGCTTCAGTTTATAATCGTAACAGATCGAAAAATTCAGATTAATTTTTCAATAAATGATTCCACAAACAACAAACAACATAATTATTACATTCAAAGAAACTACTTGTAGTAGATGAAGTACATTATTCAAAAGTTTACATTAACTTTGGATAATAACAGAGAAACGGATTCTCTCTTTTCCCCTCTCCCTCCCTCTCTCTCCTGACAGCCCGTCAGTTTCTCATGCAGCTCGCTAAACAGTGGGCGGGGCTTCAGGTGATTATGCAGCAGCTGATCTGATCTCTCTCTCTCGCCCGGTTATACTTCACTCGCGTTTATGTCCATATCGATCAGATCCAGCTCTCCTGATCGGCCTTTATAGAGAGCACAGATCAAACTATTAAGAGTGAATATCGGCAGATAATGATCGACGGCCAATCGATCGGAGCATCGGACATTTTGACCGGCAGGTTTTGAATTTACCGGTTTTTATAAAATGTTACCAGCTAAAAACCGGTAATTACCGGCTAACGGAAACCCTGACGCATACATGTACATATACAAACATAATAAACATTCAAATACATACACATATCATCACTCATGCACCGTTTGCACAAACACAATACACAGATGCACATACTCACAATGGCGACCTTTTGCACAACCCTCATGGCCAACATTTAAAAGTATATAACATTAGATGTGAGTGTTAAGAAGCTTAATGGACATAGGCAGGAATGAGTGCTTATATCAATTGTTTGTGCCTGTCTAAGATAATAAGATACCATTTACTTTATTAATCCCAATTTGGGAAATTGTTTTGTTGCAGCAGCATAAAACTAAACAAGGTATTGCACAATAACAAATTAAAAGAGTATAAATAAACAATTCTAAAATATAAAAATCTCTAAATAGAAATAAAAATAAACAAGCATTAGAGAGTAAGAAAATATAGAGATGACCGTGAAGATAAAACATCTATAAACTGTCTGACAAATAAAAACACTATTGAAGGGCCAATTAAATTATTAAAATGAGGTACACTGGAACGTTTTTAAAACTTTTGGCATGTATTTAGTCGTCTTCAAAGAAGGACTCTCTGTTCATTAAGCAGCTCAGTAACAAATCATTGTGTCCATAGGTAGTTGAGATAGCCAGCCTCACAGAGCACCTGCTGGGTGAATGTGAAAGCAGGTCCAGGTTCAGCCAGTGCCCGCGTTGCTCTGAGGCCGTGGCCCCCGAAGATCTCACTCGACACGTCCAGGGTCCCGCCTGCAATGGTGAGTTCTCAGTCTCACTCTTTCAATTTCTCAACCTTCCTATGTATTAAAACATGATTGAATTGTGTATTAATTTGTTTTTAATACATCTTTGTCTTTGTTATTTTTATTGGGGGAGGCATGTTAGTTTGACATGCACACTGTAGGCGTCTTACTTACTAGCCCATCAGGACAACCAGGATTTGTAGTTTTCTTTGATGAGAAAAAAGGTAACTCTATATAAGGATGAAAATGGCTTAAGATAAAACCCAAATAACAAAACAAATATGGCTTAACTGTGGCAATGGGCAACAGTCTCTGGCAGAATAAGTTGCAACTTTATAAACATATATATTAAGAACAATATTTAATGGAAGCATTAATCGTTAAACAGAAAAATGTGTCATATTGTCTTCCCAAAAGCTATGGTCAGCAGTCATAGGCCCCATTTACACGGAACGCAAACAAAAACGAACCGAATTCGATATCAAAAAAGTCTTCCGTTCACACGCAATCGGCTCAATTAACGTGTCCGTCCACACAAGAGCGCTCGACCCGCTGGAGACGCTGTAGTACATATGCTGGGCCTGTAAGTGGCGCTGTACTTCCGCCACAAAATACACCAAAAGCAGCGAAGAAGACTTCACGAGCATGCATGGTTGCCATGGTTGCCCTTCTGTTTATTCTCCGCGTGGATTTAGCAACAGGTGGGGAGAAGCAGGGCTCTGGCTGTTTCTCTTTTTCTCCCTCCCCGAGGCAAGCGTGTGCTCCTGCTGTAATTCTCTCCGGTAGTCCACCAGCAGATGAAAAACACCCACCTCTCCGCCTCTTCCAAGGGACGAGGGGACCGTGCGGCAGAGTTTCCATTACAATTTTTTTCCGCCGGTCAACATGTCCGTTAAAGTTTAAATCTTCTGGACAAAATTAGAAAAGTGCCGGTCAAAGGTCTTCTTTGTTATTTATTGAGCTTTAAAACAAATTAATGACGACTCTATATAATCATATAAGAATAATACATGGAGCCTCTCTTTTCCTCCCCCTCTCCTGCGTGTCTCCGCAGCAGCTGATCTCTGATCTCTCTCTCCTGTCCGATTAGACTTCACTCGCGTTTATGTCCATATCGATCAAATCTATCTGGAGGCTCCTGCTGGGTGCACTGTCCTGCGAGATACCGGGACCTGTCTCGAAACACTCGGTTTTCCCAAAAAGTTGGTTGATGTAGAATCTAGCAACATTAACAAAAGCAGAAGTCTGGGACAAAGGGCTGAATTCAATGCAGTGACATTACAGATGGTGTTAACATCATATAGTTCCTCAATTTCAAGGGGCTGAGTTTATAATACAACATCTATAATAAATGTATCATATCGAAATATTTAGGCCAGAAAATGACAGGTGAAGCAGTAACATAGTATTTTTACTTGCAATGCTCTGTCAACCCTGCACCGTAGCCAGCTGCACATCTTGCTTGTTTTTTTTAGGGGGGAGAGAGAAACACATGCTCAGTTCAACTGAGGACAAGTCAGTGTCTAGCCCTTTCTAAAATAACCTACAGTTTGGCCTAAAAAATATTTCAAATCCTTAAAAAAGTATATTTGAGTCTTAAGATCATTGAAGCTAGAGGCTATTTAACCGCTAACATGCTACTGCCACTGTAGCCTGTCAAGTTAGCTGGCTTGGTAACTGTTCGTTAGCCCAGTCGCTAGCCGTACACTAAGTTTAGGTTATACAAGAGAGGTATTTAAAAATGTGACTACTATCATAGGACTGAATGCAAGCAATTGCTCTATTTTGAAGCAGTTTAAATCAGAGTTATATAAAACTCATATTATGTAAATGTTGGCCCAGATAATATGAAAACGTCCTCCTTCGTTGATCCTTTGGCTCTCAGTTCCCTAAAAAGGTCAGCTTAGTCAAGACGCTTTAATATTCAAAGCTCACAAATTCACGTGATCTTAATAATTCCACTCAAATGAATCGATTTCATCAAATTCTGGTTTGACCTGAAGTGATAACAGCAGAAATGATTAAAGTAAAACATTGGTTTGACACAAACACATTATCAATAAATATAAGCAAAACAAAGATTATGTTATTTGGAAAACATAAAACAAATCCACAGGTGCAATTAATACTAGATAACATAAACATAGAAAGAGTATATGCAAATAAGTTCCTTGGTGTGGTTTTAGACCACAAAATCAGCTGGAAACCTCATATCAATCATGTAAAAGCAAAACTGGCTAAGACTATCGAATATTGGGAAAGCAAGACACGTTCTGGACTACAACTCATTGTATACTCTATATAACACACTAATATTGACATATCTGAGTTACTGTGTGGAGATTTGGGGAAACACGTACAAAACCAACCTACAGCCGTTATGCACATTACAAAAAAGGGCTATAAGAGTTATCAATAATGTTGGATATCTTGAACACACTAATGTATTATTTTTGAAGTCACACATATTGAAGTTCACTGATCTTGTTAAATTTAAAACGGCACAAATCATGTACAGAGCAAGAAATAATCTACTTCCTAGGAAATTAAAAACACTGTTCATAGACAGAGAGGGTGGGTATCATTTGAGAGGAAATCTACATTTGAAACAACTCAAGGTCAGAACAATATGTGCAGAACAATCTGTGGGGGGATTTTATGGAATAGTTTGGAGCAGGAGTTACGGCCCGTCCACACAGCGGCGTGCGTTGACGCTTGGAGGTGGGCGTATCTGAAGCTTGGGGATTTTTTGCGAGCAACGCGACCAACAACCAATCACATGAATCTCCCGCCCCCGACATACAAAGCAATAGCAATGTTAAAACGAAGTAAACTGGATATAAAATCCCCAAACAGGCGAAAACCTACCAGTTTCACCCACTGTCTCTGCCACCTCTCTCCATGCCTCGCTCCTCCGGTTTGTATCCCGGTAGATGAACAGAGACTGATCATACAGCACCGGGTGATTCACTACCGCTATAATGAATTTTCCCTCCATTTTTTGGAATATGAGGAAATTACCTGCGTAGTCTCTCCCAGCATACACGCGGTTTGATTGGCTAGCGCTTGTACTGGCAGATTTGCATAAACGGGATTTCATTGGCTGACGCTTCTGCGAGGCGCCAAAAGTTGAACATTGCTCAACTTTTGAAGCCAGCAACGCTCCACGTCGCTTCCCAAAATGCAGTTCGGCTAAAAGTGACGTCACCCCATTCAAAGTGAATGGGCAGAAGCGTTGGAAGCTTCAACGCACGCCGCTGTGTGGACGGGCCGTAAAAACAAACCACAAGCATAATTCAGTTTAAAAGGATGTACAGAAACACCTTTTTGGAAAACTATGAGAATGAAGAAAGGTGATTGAAGATGAGAAATGATTGTATATGTATGTATACATGTAAATGTATGTAGGAATAACTTGCATAATGATTTAAAGGACAATCATTGATCAAGTAAGGGGTGGGAATTAATAAGCATTTGCTTCCTCCTGCTCCCTTTCGGACACATATGATTTATTATTATTATTAATATGAAGACTTTTATTTTTGTGGAATATATAAATATTATCATGAATGTGGATAAATACTGTATTTTAACAATACCGTATTCTGTTTTTCACATTTTTTATTTTTTATTTGTTATTTTAATCTGTTCGAAATAAAGATTGAAATGAAATGAAACCTGCACTTGGTTTATTTATTTGGTTGAACTTTATAAATAGTCATACTCTGGCATACAGCACATCTGTGGTCACAATACATCGCTTATAAGACATACAAAATGTGCTTTATGTTTATTTTGCTGCACATAGCCTTTAATAAATCAAAAGTCTGTACTTATCCATAGTGTTGGTTTCAGTACATTTTCTGTAAACTACCAGCCAGTATTTACCATCTGAAAGCTGAGGTCAGCTTTAGGTTATTTTGGTGGTTTGGTTCCTGCTGGAAGGTGTAGTTAACTGCAATCTGTACCAACTCACCTTAAGAAACAGGGCCCACTGTGTCAAAACGTACATGTCTGTGACCGACTATATGTCTCCACAGATAATTGACACAATTATTACGTTTGTTTTACCATAACCTTCAAGTCTCTCTTACCCCTGTTAGGTTGGGTTCCCATTGGGTGAAATTTGAATTGTGAGATAGGGTTGGCTTGCGTTCCCATTCCTTAAAGTAGTTAAAGATGTTGTCCTTCAGTGGTGTTATTTCATCATTCTGGCTGGTGTGTTTAGGGTAGCTTTTGTGTAATGGTATACAACAGGTGGGTTAAGGTGTTGTGTTTCTTTTTCAGCCCCCATCTCGGGTAAAGGCTCCAACCACTGTCCTTTGTGTCATAACAACTTCATTCCTGGAGAGAAGGTAAGATTCTTTAGATTTCACGAGGAAACACTCGGTTTCACTTACATCTCTGTTCTATGTTTCCTTTGTGAAGCAATGATGGGATTAAAGACAATTATAAACTGGAGTATAGCATGTGTTGTTAGCAACAAGTAGGTGGAACAGGTGTGTCCCTTCACTGAACCAAACCAAAAATATGAATTTTGACAGTTATGCTTTGCCATTTTCTGCTAGATAATGATGGGCTAACCCCAGTTGAGATTAAAGGAGTACTTCACCCACCAAATAATAATTTGCAATGAGTTACTCACCCCATGTTATCTTGAATTTGTGTAGAAATCTGAACCGAAAATCCAAGAACATAACAAAATCGTAATAAATCAAAGTTAATGGGAGACATGTTTATTAATTGCAGAACTATATTAAAACATTAGATGTTAACAAACTCATGCGCTACTTGTGTTCTGGTTGGTATTGCTTTTGTTCAATTCCTCACACGTTTTTGGATTCTCCGTTCACTGTGAAACGCACGAGAAAAACACGTTTTCTTCAAGAATTCAAGGTTACACAGTGACTAATTGATAATCAAGTGCTGATTTTGGGTTTGAAGTTTTTGCTTCTTGGTTTTTCACATCATTTTGGCCTGAACTTCACTCAAGGAGCTTTTCCATTTTCCCTCTTTTATATCAACACTGAAATTCTAAAAAGCATCTAATATTAGGCTTGAGGAGCAAACAGGTGTTGAGGTAAAACACTGCTATTGTTAGCCTTTAAAGACTTCAAAGGGGGCAGAGCCTTTGTTCTTAATGGGTTTCATTTGTCCAAAGATCAGGTAGATAGATACCATCACATTCTTCACATTCCTATTAGGTAAGAAAGACCATAATAATCCTGATAAATTATTGACATATTTATATTTTTTGATAGCCATGCTTTCTTTAAATCTTTGTGTGTAGCCAGGGTGTTTGGGGATAATGCAGTTATTTTGGTACAAATAAAAAAAGTGGATTGTTATATTGTTGAAAACTTGGAAAAGTTCAGGTTTCCTGCTTATGCGACTTGCTGCTTTGTATAATGTGGGCAATGTTTGATCTGTAACAGGAAAAGTTTATTCATATTTACTGGCAATCTTATTTCAATATTAAACCACTGATAGAATGAATCAACAAGGAAATTGGATTAAAAAAAAATAACTCAAGCGATAGTAGCATACCCTGAATGTAACCTCAATGTTAATTATTACAAAACAGTTAATGAGTTTGCTCTTATTTTAAGTTAGTAAACAGTGCTCGTATGTCATAAGCCTTGGTGTTGCTCATCCATTAAGAACCCTTGTTGTATGTTCACTTTGTATGTGATAGAGAAGTTTACAATGGATATTAAGTGCACAAGTTTCTCTGCCTCACTAAAAGATGTAACAACAGTGCAGCCTTTCATTTGTCTTCTATTACGTTTGTGTCATCTGGGACGCTCATGAATCATGCAGTGTGTCTTTGAAGGAGGCACAAGAGCTACAGGTATTAGTCTGACCAACAGCACCTGTCCTGTCCTCGCCTGTCCTTGTTTCCAGCAGCACTGGAAATTAAACTTCTGGACAAATCTCTATTATAAGAATTCCAAATTGGTAGATAAAACCCCAGACTTCAGTTAGACATGTCCAGGTCTTGTAAGACAAGTGTAATCCATTCAGTGTTATAATGATCTCTTTAAATCAATTTTGAAGACCAAAATATTGTTCAAATGATGCTACGTCTCTGCCTACATTGGTGACGAACACAACAAATACCAATAGTATACTAATTAGAGACCCTGTAATTGTTATGAATATGCCTGTTTAGATTCTATTACGTTTGTGTCATCTAAAAAATAAATATCAACCTTGATAGGTTGATATTTATTACTTAATGCCTCTTGAATATATGGTACATTTATTATCTGCCTTGAAAAAGTGTGATAAACTATCAAGTAACTAGAAGGGCACTCGTATAAATACCTCCACCAAGGTTTCATTTCCTAACTCGCAATGTTAACAAATAATAAAATACATTGTGTATCCGCACTGTGATCCGGATCCACCTCAAACTGCAATGGGTTCTTCCTTGCTCCCATACACCTTTTACTGAAAGGATATGTAGTTTATTTCCGTAATCCTGCGGACAAACAGAGAAACCAACAAACTAAACTAAAAACATAACCTAAAAGTAAAAATGATCTGTTGACAATAATCTCTTTCAATCTATTTCACAGCAGACAATTCCAGTTGGAGCCATGGCCACAAAACATGCAGCCTTAATTAATTATATTAATCACACCTGTGTTGTTGCTGTTGTGACACACAGTGTCCGCAGTGAAAAATGCTTATTGTCCTTTGTTGCTGTGATTAGTACAAATGTGGGTCAACGTCAACATTTTGGGGGAAAAAACGTAATAATGAACAAAAGTGATCATTATACAACATGGTGGCAGTTTTTAGTCAGTTACCGTTAAACCATTTTATTGGTGTCCAAGTGGGATAGGTAATAAGCAATTTGAGGTTATGCCAAATGAAAAGTGACTTATTATTCAATTCCAGTTGCATTTTGTATTCAAAATCTGATTGACTTTGAAAACCTCTCACACCATTAAAAATACATAAAGAAAAAACTCACAGAAAGTCACACTCAGTGCCAGAGTTGTGCGTATACAGCCAATGAAAGGCTTTAGTGTTAGTGGGAGGGAGGGCAGCCATTGGGGTCTTGACTGGGCCCACAGTCACATGTTGCTGTCCCGATCGAGAAAGTACCTGGGAGAGGAACGAACTCACTGAGCTACTTTTGTCCCTGTTCCAGGCCTGGAAGGCTCACCTCATGGGCAGGGAGGGCTGCAAACAAAACTCACGCAGGACTGCGGTGTCCCAGAGAACCCAGCCAGCACAAGGTAAAGCATTCATAACACTCCTGCGTACAACCACCTCCCTAACGCTCAATGTGAACGCTATACAGAGTGCCCATGCTTGTTGGTAAAGATGTCATGTTACAGCTTTTCCACTATGATTTCCTGCCACAAAGCACAGAATGAAGCACATACAAATAGTGACAGGTTTAATATGAAAACTAGTGTAGTGGGTGTTCCTTTTTAATTGATATTTTCAAATTGTTAATGTGTTAATGATCGAAACATCGAGTGGCTTTTTGTACAGTTGTATGAGGCCCAATGCACATTATTTTTGAAAGCAACGTCTCTCATTACAATAATAACCACCTTGATGCCAGAGTGACAGTTGGGCTTAAAAAAAACACCCACACTAGAGAACCACTGCAGAATATATTTAAGTTAACCCTAACCCTACGATTTAAGGTGTGTAACATGTGAAACCCAATTGAATATACTATTTATGGTTTCAGCAGTAACTATTTAGTGTATTTGCATTCCGTAGTTTGCTTCTCTATATAGTATTCATTACTGGTGAAGTACTTGACCCAAGGTTTACAGGAAATGATGTGTGCACTTACTCGACATGATGCAGGAGACTAAAGTCCATAGGTAGAGTTACCGTTGGGAAACATTTAGTTTTGTTCTCTTTTCATTAAAACAGCATGTGCCTTGAATCCCCATGATTTTTTCATCTTCACAGATTCACTGTTTCACAGCAGACATTTTGAGCATAGGTGTTACCAGTGATGGAAGAAGTGCTTATATCCCTTACTTAAAGTAGAATTACCATAGTCGCAAAGTACTCCCAAATTAAAGTCCTGAATTCAAAATGTAAAAGCACAGAAGTATTAAAAAAGTTTTTTTTTATTATCATTAATAGAGAATATAATTTTTTTGAAGATCATATGTAATAACAATTTAATCTTGTATTATTAGCTAGTTTTAGATATGAATTTCAGCTAGTTTGAATACTACTGTGAAAATGAATAGTGCCTTAATACCTCATCATATAAGCTCATTATATGTATTTATGTGTTTACTAACCAGTAACAACATAAAATGGAAACACTCAAGGAAAGTAAAAGTATGTTTTGTACATAGGTACAGTACTTGAGCAATTGTACTTAGTTACATTACGTGACAGGTGTTGCTAATTACACTAATGACGGCTTTTTAATCGTATCTTAATTGCAAACAGGCATCATTACTATCATTATTTACACCTGTGCTTTACCTAATGTGACGAGTCAAAAATGTCTTCAGTTAGTAGTGCTCATCTTCTGTTGCCTATAGAGTAGAAGCTTTCATGGTGTCATTTTTTGCCCCCAGTGGTGGCTTTACATGCCATAGTGAAGTGAATTCTGCAAGCTGTATTCATTAAATAGACCAGCCGTAACCACAGGCAACTGACATTGCTGCCATATCAACAGAAATATTTAAGAGTATAACTTTAAGCAAGTTCGATGACAATGGGTAGGACCCAGACTAGGTCAGAAGAGCAGGAGGGCAGTTCCTGGAGCACGACCCTTAACATCAGGGGTGCCAATAGGCACCATAATGAGCCCCCTGACATACGGATACTGAAAACGTTTCAAAAAAGTTAATCCAATTATCCATTGACTGATTTAATACTGCATGAAAGGTGATATTCCAAATGGATAATGGCTTACAAGTTAACTTTTTCAGGGATTTCCCCAGGAAATAGTTTGTAAAAGGTGGTAAGCTGTTACACATCTTGTACATGTTATTTCCTGTTAATAGATGATTGCTCAAATAGCAGTCTTGAGTTGGAAATAGCGCCCGTGATAAAATAACAGATTTAACTTAATTACTTTCCTTTCTGCTGTTTACACTATGCAGCTAATATACAGCAAATATCTTGTTCAATACAAATATTTTAAAAAGTAAATTATTTCCATCATTCTACAAATTGAACACAAAAAGTACAAATGCAGAAATATGTAGTTGCGTTTAAAAGTTTACTTTCAATACTCCGTTTTAACTATCAAAAAGAAATCGGACAGTCCAACATTTGAGGCACTTGCAATGCTCGATAGTAAAGTAAATGCCAAGAAACAATATATTGCATCATGGTTGGTTTGAAGGTATAACCACAATACGCTGATGTCATGAATCCTTCCTGTTTATACATGCATCACAGCTAATGCAGGCTGCTGTGTTTAGTGGTAAATAGAACAAAGGAACATTCATATAGAGGACCCCCCTCTTTATGGATGTTCCTTTACAGGTTTACTGTACATATATGTGTTGTGTGTGTCCAGGCAGGGCTGGTGGTGGAGCCAAGATGAAGCATGCGTGGTCGGTAGGGGCCAGAGGCAGAGCCATGGGCAGAGGCAGCCGGATCCCAGCCCTGGCACCAATGGCCAGAGGAAGTACACCAGGGAAGCACTGACACTGGAGCACCCTGGGGAGGCCCCCAGCAGCAACACACAGCCCTGTAGGAAACTACTCAAACATTTCCTGCTCCCATGATAGCTTTCATATCTTTTGCTCTGTTTCCAGTCCTACTTAGGATTAGGGTTAGGGTTAGTCCACCTGGAATCACCATCATAAGACCTGTTATTTTGTCTACGCGTCATCATGGCGTCACACACCTGTCGGGCTAGTAAACATGTGCAGACTGCGTTCTGTTTGCCGATATCACCTTACAGGTTGTTTTTTTTGGGTCTAATTTTGTTCAAACTGCTGACAGGTTGGGAGCTAACCCCAGTTGGAAATAATACAACTAGAAGCTGTCACTCTGGTATTGTACTTGCTTTAAGTTTCTTGATGACTCATAAGAGACAGATACAGCAACATATCTTATCATTTTGTGCCTAATGGCATCTCGGGGCTGACATAACCCTGATGACTCACTGTGACATCTTCAGGGTTATTCATTTTTGAGTTAGTTAACTAACCGTTCTTCACAAGCTATCCAATGCCGCTATAAAGGTAAACATTTCATTGTTAAAATAGTCAAAATGGGCACAAAAAGAACAAAATCAGCATTGAATTTTAAATTATATTTGGACCACAAGCGTTACTCAGTGTAGTAATGCTACATATGTAGTACATCTTGACAGGGCACAGTGAGTGTAAATGATACTTAAAACACGCCTCTCCGTGAAGCAGTAATGTGAGAAGACGAGGAATAAAAACGTTCCTCCCTTGGCAACACGTTAGAATCCTCCCTGACAACCTGAGTGCAGCTTTACTGTCAGCTTTGTACTTACATTTTTACTTATTGACGTGTATAGCGAAAGAATAATATGAAATAGCACTTTGCCAAAGGGATGGTACTGAATCTTCAGTGCAGGTTGAACTTGATTTATTATTCCTGTTTAATTCCTACTGACAATCTTAAGTAGATAGCACAATTTCATATGCTGTACTAGTTGAGTAAGAGACTAAGTAGAGCTTTTAACGTAACATAATTATTAAAAAGGAAAACACACAATGGACATGAATGTACAGTCAATAGTAGAATCTGTGTAGCAGCTCTTTTTAGTGGATTTTGGCTGATTTGACCCTAAAACTCAACATTTAAACATCTTCCATTGTACCGCTCAGTGTTATGACGATGGTGATTGTAATATGTCTGTTAATCCTCAGCGAAGAAGAATTTACACAGAAACAGTCCAAGGTGTCTTTAAAAGATTGTATTACGAGTAGGGGATGTTCTTCATTAATGTGTGGGATTAGACTTACTGTTAAATAAGTTATAGGTATAAGAAAGTTTATTTTTGATTTCCTAATCCATCACATTGGCTTTTATATGTTTCTGTATTGAGGACTTTTGCAACAGTGGATATTTGTGATGTGCTTTTATGTGCATAGTCATTGTTTTATGAATAATTATGGCATGAAATGGCTATTTTATTCTGCAAAGTATCTGTATTTGTTTAAATAAAGCTACATTTAGCATAACATTGCAGATTTGGTTTCACTGGACAAAACATTTCTAATACTATTGTACATTTGAAATCCAAATTTCCCCCCAAATAATCAGCATTTTCATGTGCTGCTCAGAAATGATGCAACAACCATTCTGTATTCAAAGAGTTGACAGATAGTCCCAGTTTTATTTACATTATCATACACAAATCTACAGTATTACAGCCCTTTTAGTTTCTTTGGTTTTTGACCTGCCTCAGCTAATCATATACACATCATTGACACTTAGAAAATACCATAAAAGGTGGAATAAAACAATATATTAATTTAAAATAATCAAATAATTTCTTTCTTTCTTTTTTTTTACAAAATCAGCCCCCTTCCACATCATAAATCAACTTGGAATGCAATTGTGTGCTTTGAGTCCATGAATTCACACTGAAATTAGAAATTGTTAATAGAATTAGCATTTTTAGTCACAGGAACACAAGGAAGTAAGAAGTCCAGTCTTATTTATGCCTGCACAAACACTAAAACCATTACAACCATGTCTCCCAGCATCAATGTTAGATCTCACATTAAAACTATATAGAATGATCCTGAAATGGCACCAAGAATGAGAAGAAGAAAAAACGGATGCCTACGCACTGTCGAGTTTTGGTTAGTGGTTTCAAAAAATGCTCTTGGATTGCATCAGAACAATATGCGAAATTAAAAAATGGGTGAAAACTAACTATGTTTGTCCCCCTTCCTGAACATGACTCAGCAGATTCAGTATAGACATGTAAAGATCATCATGATCATTAAAAACAACGCAATTCTCCCGTGTATTCAGTTCAGTTTGGGTGAAGTAGTTTACTTCATATACATTTTCAGTTATATTGACACTTTACGCGCGCACACGAGCCTCTCGCTGTGCACCACGTTCCACATCCTGAGCAGCTCCTGCACGCTCAGTTTGTGCACCACGATGAGGTTTTTGTAAAAGCACGGCTCGCTGTTCATGGAGCTCACCTTGCGCCTGGTGATGCCGAATGTCCTGAAGTCCGGGTGCGTCTCCGGGACCAAGTCCAGCTTCTGCAGGCACATGCCCAAAAACACATCGTCAATGGGGTACAACTCCAGGTCCTCGGAGACCACGAAGAGCCTCCTGGCCATCTTGGAGGACATGAGGAACCCTCCACCTCCAACATAAGGTGGATATGGCTTATCGTACAGCTCTCTGGGGATGTAGTATTTACTCTGCCGATTTCGGATGGGGTTCGCATTGAAGATGGTGTCCCCCACGAACAAATTGGCCTCTTTGCGATCTTCCACCTTGAAGTCGATGAGCTGCACCAAGTTCTGCGTGTTCACGAACACGTCGTCATCTCCTTTGAATATAAACTGCACATCGGAGCAGTAGATGTCTAACCATTTGAGGAAGTTGACCTCCTTCAGGGTCAAATTAAAGAAGGTGTCCATGAAGTCCCACTGCAGGATGTCCCCGTAGATCCTGTCCTCGTACTTGATCAGTTTCTGGAGGTTCTTAGTGTCCTTCCCAGTCGTTGGGCTCCCCAGAAGAAATAACGTTTTGATTTTCTTCCCATCCACAGTGTGTTCCTTTCCCCATGTTTTACGCACAGCCTCCCGGCGATCGTGCTGCTCGATGATGGATTTAACCACCATAAGGATGTGCACCTCTCCACGCGCGCACTTCTCCGGGTGGTTGATGAGCATGGGGAAGTACCTGCAGTGTCTGTGCAGGACAAACTGGTGGAACCTCGGGTCCAAACGCTTGAACCAGTCCTGCGTCCGCACCGACGCGTCCTCGCTGCAGTTGAGAACCGGCACGTCCCAGGAAGCCGGGGTCTTATTGGAGACCCGCTGCGCGTCCACTGTGTTGCTAAGCACCGGCAAGTCCGAGCTCCCCAAACTGTTTTTTACGATCCTTTTCTTGTAGGAAAAACACTCGGGGCTACACCACGGCGTGTCATTGACATGTTTTAATCCCACTGCGTCCTTCTCTGCCACTTTCAGCTTGTGGATCATTAGGAAAGAAGCGAAGACGAGGAACAGGCTGAGCAGAGGCTTCAGTAGACCCACGCGCCTCCTCCGAAAAAAATTATCCATGGCTCTCACATCGGTGCCCACTGATCCTCAGATGCTGGACGTGTTGCCTTCATAGTGTTTCACAACTTTTGATTTTCATCCATCACCGCCGCCGCTGCGCATTTTGAGCCATCAGAGGTTGTTTCCTTCCGGCTACGGTCTTACCTGACACTGAAGGGCCCCGGGGCCACGGTCTGCCGGACGACGGGGCTTCAATGGAGTCACACACTCGTCCTTTCCTGGGAATGATGCACTACATGTCCTCAGGCCTACGTTCCCTGCACTCTTGTCTTAGAATGACTGCTGCAGGATGAAACTTATTCTCATAGATATGAGTGAGACGAGAGAGACGATAGACTCTGTAGCGATAAAGAGAGAGAGAGAGACTAGAGCGAGGATCTATCAGCTTCTCTCCTAGAGCTCTGAGCTCTATCTCTAGATATGCTCTATCCTCTCTTTCTCTCGCTCTCTCTCTCTCTCTCTCTCTCTCTCTCTCTCTCTCTCTCTCTCTCTCTCTCCCTGTCTCTCTCTCCTCCCCCAATGATCCTCACTGATCTGGGACCCGCAGGTTTCGCATTTCTCACACACACCAGGTGTCCAGCAAGTAATAGTTAGTGCTTTTAAACAATGTAAGCTACACCATGATTATAAATTAATCTCTAAGATCTGCATGCACATAGATACAATGAAAACAATAAACTGTATCAAATGTAATTGATTGATATGAAAATATAATTAGGGAGGACAAAGTTAATAAAAGAAAAACATGCAGATAAAAAAAGTAGTACAACAACGCACATCTAAAGAAACATTTTAATAATGCATTTATAGATCCTGAACATTTTGGGAAACAGTACCAAAATACTAGTCAAGGGCGTAAAGTACTAAAGGTGCACTTATGAGTGTATCATTTGGCTATGAGGAAGTAGCAATAAGCTGGGTAAATATGTGCTTTAATTGTTCCTTATAATTTCAAAAAACAACATATTTAAAGGCATGAAGTGAATATAGTTTCTTAGAAATGGATTCACGCAAGTTAGTGTCAACATCCTTTCTTAATAAGCTATTTGTTGGACAGGCTATACTTTTCATCACCTTATTTGTTAACAGGCCAAGTTACATAGCATATGGAGGACAAATGTCTTTATGTATTCCTTCCCCATGTGACGTTAGGCTACTCCGGACCAAGGTCCGGATCCGGACCGAACTGCAAATCAATCCGGACCGAACCCTGTGTCCCATTATAAAAAAAAAAAAAATGATAAAAAAAAAAAATATATATATAAAAAAAAAAAATCTGATTCTGATGTAAATTAAAGTGGACCTATCATGCTATATTGGAAAAAATATATTGTAGGGCCATACCTATACAAATATAGGTCTGTGAAGTTTTTTGCTTAAAATACCAAACAGTTCACCCATTGTAGCCATGCCTCATACTGCTCATACCCCTCCTGTGCAGCCCTGTTAGAGAAACGCGGATTTTGGGTCCTTAGCTTGAAAAAAAAAGAGGAGGCGGAGCTAATGCCTGATCAGAATTCTACCGGAGATAAAGTTAAATTCTGTTGCAATAAAACGCCATCCTGTTCTTATCCACATCAAGGATTATTTCTGAAACAGTATGGATCTCAAATGCTTTATCTCTTGCGGGTTTATCACAAGGTGAGTTCCTTTTTTTATTTCCTGCTTTTAAAACACATGTGCTCTCCAGTACAGGTTAGCTCTGAGTGTTAGCGAGGCTTGCTAATGTAAACAAAGACGAGATTACGTCCAAAACACGTTCAAAACGCGTCAGGCATTGTTTCTGATAGCAATTTTCTGTGGGTCCGCTGCCGATTTGACGTCAGATTGGCAGCAAATCTGTATCCGCTCGTTGTACCCCTGTTTTTAAAAGATTTGGGTACGGAGGAAAAGAGAGCGGGTTTTATTTTCTGACGCTGCGTGAGTTCCCCGACGCACCGGGGACACATATTTATGTATAAAAGACATCACAAAGTGCATTTTGCATGATAGGTCCCCTTTAATGTATATTGTCTTGTGTCTGACGCATTCTGAGAATGAACGTGCATATATTTACTTGTGTGCGCGAGTGTCACACGCATTTAAGTTAACCACAAGTTTACCTTGACTTTATAATGCTTCTAATGCCATTTTTGCCGAGGTTCAAGGCATTGGCTACAGACAAACAGTGCCATTTCTCCCACTAGTTCAAGCCATGATACTGTATGTATGTATGTATGTATGTATTGAATGTCTGTGTGTATACAGGGGCGCCGTTTACCGACAGGCAAGTGCTTGGACCAGAAGGGGGCTAAGGTAGATTAATCCAATCCAATCTAACTTTATTTATATAGCACTTTAAAACCTCCTGACCAAAGTACATGCAAAGCACGCCGAAACTGCTTCTTAATTTCAGTATCGTTGCTCCGCTCCGGGGGTGGGGGGGGGGGGGGGGGGAACTTTACTGGCATTGATCCGGACCATTGACCTTGTATACAATTCACAAGTGGACCTTTAACAAAAAAGTTTGAGTACCCCTGGGCTAGAGCATGTACAACAGGATTGTTTTGTTGAACAGCAGTTTCACATGAATCATCAGGCGGAAATGCAGGAAAATGTAAACTTTTAATTTATGTAAAGCTAGTCATTTGGTTAAAATAAGTGGCTAACCAGTTTTTGAAACCAATTTCCAAATGATATATTTATCCTTAGTTGTGGTATGTATCAAAGTACATTTACTCAAGTATTGTACAATTTCGAGATACTTGTACTCCACTATTTCTATTGTAGCCTATGCTACTTTACTCATAGGGGGATTTTGAGGGGGGCCTAGTGGCTGAAATATGTTACAGCATTACTAGTCGAAAACTGTTCCAATACAAATATTTCGTATATCAATATTTTAATAAGGTAGGACACACGTTAATAATATTGTAGCGTGT